ATAAACTTTGATCAAAATAAACCAAACAAAATTGGAGTTTTGAATATTGTCTTTTTAGTCCTTTCCACCCCAAATCGCATAATAGATAAGCAAGGCTTTGGGCATGTCTTCCTTAGAGTTTTCTTTCTTTGGTATGATATAGTTGAATTAGAACGTCAACCAGAAATCTATTCTTGGAGGACAATCATGGAACGTTACTGCCACTGCTCTTGACTGCCTGCCTAAGATAGCTTTACAAAAACTTGGGGTTCCGCCCAGCAAGGTGGTACTTGTGCCCTATTGGAAGAGCAATGTTGTTTCTATGTCAACAAATCAGGTAAAGTTATACAAAAGTTTGAGGTTCTGAAATAAAATATTACAATCCTTGGACAGAACATTAGCCCCTAAATTGGGTTTGGACAGACTTATTTAGCTGGCTGCCTGCAGGAATAGGGAGCTGGCTTCGTTCTCTATTATAAGCCCTTCATTATATTGGTGTTTGATTATACTGTTTGCCACATTAATCAGGTGTCTTTTTAAAAAATATATATTTTATTGATTTTTTTACAGAGAGGAAGGGAGAGGAGAGGTATAGTTAGAAACATCGATAAGAGAGAAACATTTATCAGCTGCCTCCTGCACACACCCTACTGGAGATGTGCCTGCAACCAAGGTACATGCTCTTGACCGGAATTGAACCTGGGGCCCTCGAGTCCACACGCTCTCTATCCACTGAGCCAAACCGGTTAGGGCCTAATCAGGTGTCTTACCAGGTGCATCGAACAATCACTAATAGCCATTACCAGAATAATGCTAGCCCATTGCCTAGAGATGTTACAATAAATAAATCTGAGACCACCTCTACCAAAGAACTTTAAATGTGAGAAATATGATTTAGCCTTGTTTCCAAGCCCCCTTGTTGCTCAAATGTGGCCATACGCTCTTGTACACTCGGGAGACCACTTACCTCCTACGTGGGATATGACATACTGGAAATGAGCCCTCCTGGAGATGAGGGATCAATGTTGCTTTTCAATGACAGACCAATTACACTTCCTAATGGCTGGTCCATGCTTTCTAAGATCTGGATAGAAAGGGGAAAATGTAATGCCCAACCTGCATGGCTCAGTGGTTGAGCGTCGACGTATGAACCAGGAAATCACGGTTCAATTCCCAGTCAGGGCACATGCCCGGGTTGGGGGCTCGATCCCTAATGTGGGGCATGAAGGAGGCAGCCAGTCAATGGCTCTCTCATCATTGATGTTTCTACCTTTCTCTCCCTTCCTCTCTGAAATATATATATTTTTAAAAAGGGGGAAATGTGAAAGAAAAATAGAAAAATGGAGTTGGTATTGTCAAGGGAGCAATCTAAAATGGAGCTGAGGCCTCTGGGAAGCTGAGCTAAAATATCCCCATCCTTAAGTAACCAAGGTACTCTCCAATGAAAACCTTTTCCTAAAGAGCTGAGGCCCTGAAGTTACATTAACCGGTGGAAATTTAAAAAAATTTTAACAGTGGATCTAAGCCCGTTGTTATGCACAGGCAGAATTAATCACAAGCCTTATTTCCTGATGTAAAAGGCAACTCTAAGATTTTGAACAATTCTGGTTGAACAAAAGTCATGAAATTAAAATTTTTCTTATCCTGAGCTGTCATCTTATACATGCTTCTCTAAAGAATGAAGCAATAGATCCTATCACAGATAAAGGTCAGCACATACATGTATCTGGGTAAATGTAATAAAACATTTTCTATTACAAATTACTGAAAACATCTAGTACTATAAAGAGGGGAAAATCTGATTCTGATCCACTTATGTCCTATGGAAGAAGTAACAAACACAAGATTTAAAGGACTTGATGATTAAGACTGTAAGTTCTATGCCAAAGCAACTTAGAATTTTCCAATTAAAAACAACTTGGATTGGGGGTACCAACCAGGGAATGTGGAGGAAGGAAATGGAATATTCCACAGGACATTACAAAAAAGTCTTTTGTTTTCAGCTTGGTACATGAATTAAAGATTTTACATATGTACCTAATTCAGGGTAAGTTAATTAGAGTATGAATGAAAAATGAGTTTTGGGTTGACCTGGCATTGCATATACTGGTATGAAAACAGCACAATTTCCTTTTATATCAACAACTAGAGACCTGGTTAATGAAATTCATGCACAGATCAAGGCTGATCTGTGGGGAGACTGGTGGGGGCCCCAGTGGCAACCACCTAGGCCAGCCTGGCCCCACCCACTTG